CCCCCCCGCCGCCTGCGCAAACCCCGCCGCCGCTCTCGTCGCCGACCGGATCCCCTGCACCCCCACCAACGACCGATTCTTCCTGGGACTAACCATCAACTCATGCAACGACGTCCCCGCCCAGGCCCCATCCTCATCCTCCTCTTGCGCTGAGCCCTCCTCATCATCACTCACAACCGGTCTTTTCCGGATATTCATCGTCTGCAACCCCACCCGCTGCCTCGCCGCCAACTCCTCCTGGGCGTGTCGCTTCTTACTCTCCTCGCTGAGCGGGGTGACCCCGTCGGTGGGTCGACGAATCAACTCCTGAAAGGTGGCATTCTGTTGTTGTTGCTGCCGCTGCGCCTTCACCTCCTTCTTCCGGCGCACATACTCGGCGTAATGCAGGTGCTGGGTGAAGGACTGCGCGACGCTGTAGAATTCGTCTTCGACCATCATGTAGATGTCATCGTTTTGGAGGCCGGGGATGAGATATCTTTTCCCCCCAGGGGGTTAGCACTCTGACTATAAGGGAGGGGGGCGGGGGCGGGGGCGGGGGTTGCTCACTCTTCCGATGGACAGCGGTGGATGGGGGAGGAGGGGGGTGTTGGGGCTGTAGATTCGTTAGCGTTTGCTGACGCTGGATTATTCATGCTTTGTATGCGTGAGTAAGTGGCGGCACGTACAGGATCGAAGAAAGTCCCGTCGGCGGGTGCGAGAGCCCCCGGAGCCTGGATCTGGGGGGCTGCTGGTTTGCTTGAATGCATTGGTTCGCGCTGCTGCTGCTGATGATGATGTCGCGCCCGCGCGACGGGGTTGTGGGGTGGAGGTTCGGGATCGCGATCGGGATGAGGAGGTGGTGGTGGTGGTGGTGTCGAGGAGCCAGGGGAGGTTTCGGGGCATCTTTTTGCGGTTCGTGTTAGCAGGGTATGCAGGACATCCTGGGATTTGGAAGTGGGATGGAGGCGTTGGGCTGGAGCTGCGACATGGATCGCGACGGGTAAGTTGGGAAAACGCGTTCGATCTCCCCGGGCCCGCGTGGATTTAGGTTCTGCCCATATAACCCTCTTGGGAGGTCTGGGCTGGGTGCAGGTGCTCCACTACCCGGTCTGTGGTGAGCCAGCCAGCCAGCCAACCCGAATTGGCCGGGGGCTGCACTGCAAGTGAGTGAGGCTTGCGCAGTGGCTGCTTTCACTTTGCCCTCTGATTCACTTCAAATCATGAACTAAAGATATAGTTTCAACTTTGGGTATCATATTTCAGTCAATCTTCTAAATCCACACATTCTCTCTCGCAAGAGCAACGAACACAACATCCTCCCCGATCTCATCCCCACGATCATAAACAAAGCCCACCCCATATGTAACGCCCAATCCCAACCCCGGCAGGACAAAAATCGTATTGTCCCGCGCCCGTAGAACAAAGAACCTCTGCGGGAAATGCATAACGCCCGTGTCGCAGACAAGGAAAAAAAAACCAGCCGAACGCATCAAGAACCAACCCTAAAACCAAATTCCCCCCCCTTGCCACCACATCCTCAAACCTCCCCAGGCCGCTTGCTGTTACAGCTCACAATCTTCACCTTGTCCGCCGACACGGTGGTCTGGTTGTCCAGCTTGAAGGTCACGTCCTTGATCAGGAAGGTCCAGACTTCATCGCAGAATCGGTAGGTGTCGAGGTGGCCCTGTGCGGTGCAACACATATGGATGTTAGTTTATCATGCTGAAAGAACGGACCCGCAAGGAGTGCGTTCTCCACGGAAAAGAGCTTGACGTGCAGGGACAGGCAAGACGGTACCTTGAAAGTCAACCTCGCGCGCACCTTATCCGCCAACACCTCGGTCACGATGCGGTCGAAGGTGGAGAGGATCTTCATGGCGAGTTGGGGCTCGATACGGCCCTCGTTGATCAAATCGTCCAGGGTGTCCGTGAGGGAGAGGCCGATGCTTGGGTGGTGTGTCAGTCTGCTTGCGTTGCTCCGGGGTTGTGGAGTTGGATGTACAGTACCTGCTCCCGCGGTAGAGCTCGTAGTATGCCTGGGCGCTCATCTTGGTCGCTTCTTTACCTGGCGGTCAGAGGTCGGAGTGAAGCTTCCGGAAAATATCGTGGTGTGGGCTGAGATCGCGGAGGTGAAGGGGGGTATAATCGGTGGTTTTGTCAGCTAGTAGGTTAGAAGGTTGGAGTTGTGACTGGGAGAGTGATATCTTCACGTGATGCGGATCCGTGGGAATCGGGGTCGGGTCATGTGACGTATGTATGGCTTGGCCAGCCATTACATCAATGCGATTTAAAGGGTGTGGGGAGTAAATGACCAAGAATTCGACTGTCTCAACAGATAAATGATTTGATGATTGCAAGCCACTTTACGATGCTCGGTTCATGCTTAACTCGCGGGTCTTCAAGTCTAACGAGACTGGGCTCATCGACTATCTCTCAACATACTAATACTTTCTTTGCGCACATTCCCTCGGACACGAAGTATATCTCCTCCACCGCGTGTAGATTAGCAGCTACTAATACCAAGGGTCAGTTTAAAAACGGATTATGACCAACACACTTCTCTAGATAGGTTTCATTCTTGACTAACATCGCCTAGACGAAGCCTCATCGAATACACAAACATCCAAGGAAAACACACCTGCAGCTAACAAGCCCTCCACCGAGACCAGGTCGAAGAGCGTCTCGCAGGCAGACCAAGAGCTTCGGGAGCGCCTCGAGCAGATGTCGGGAGGCGGTGGCGCTTCCGGGATTGAGTACGAGGATGGCAAGCCCACGGCTATGAAGCGCAGCGTGCGCAACAACATGTTTCGCTATATCTGAGAGAGAAGAGGGCTGGGCGCAGTACGTTGCTCTTGTGGTTCAGGCTTGATGATAGAGCCTGAAGCGCGCATGCTGGGCCAGAATACCTTTCCCTTTGTGGTAACTAGAGGATACAGTCCTGACTCCTGATGACTTCATTTACCCAAAACACAACCTGATAACGAGAAGATGACACTCTACCTGTAAATCGAGATCACATTCTGTCAATCATATGTATCAACCGTCCTAATTGTAGCTATAATATCATCGAAGAGGAGTACAATGGCCGCCGTAGAAACGCCTAACGCATATACTGCAGGTATGCCCTCTGAAATACCGGTTACTTGACGCCTTAAAGTGCAGGTCCAAATCCGAACAAAAGCCAAGCCATCTGTCTACACTTTACCGAAACTGCTTTCCAGCACCTTACATGTTGCCAATCATGCCTGCCAGAACACCCGCGCCAATGACACCCCCATCAGACGCCTCGCGCAAGAACACCGACTTGCCGCTCTTCTGCGGACCCGTTCTCATAATGAGTCGATCGATGTACTGTTGGCACATCTCCTTGAAGCTAGGGTAATGCTGAATAATCCCACCTGTGTATGCGACCACGAGTTCCTCGGGACCGGACTGCCAGTCTGCAGGGACAGGCGTGGGGGACAATACCGGAACAATCGGTCCATTAATGCTACTTGATCCACGCGGACCCGCTGCTTCCGGTTCTAATGCAGGTGAAAGATGCTGCGAGACCGCGGATAGGTCCAGATTGGCACTGATTTCAGTGGTGGGAGAACCCCCGGGACTGTCCACCTTCAGTTCGATCTCCTGCGCACAAGCAAGGAGTCCTACAACGGCTGCCGCGATCAAACCTGCAGATCGCCGTTGCACAGTCCTAGCAATCTTGCGGAAAGCGTTGGCGGACGGCGCATCCCAATTCCACTCGCTAGATTCAGGAGGCGGCAGGGACTGAGCCAGCTCACTTGCGAGATCATGGTCGGACCGGGAGCGGGCAACCTTGTCCGATATGAAGGAGGTCGTCAAGGCATACTCTTTTACAAGAGATGCGGGAAGGTCCTTCTTCGATAAACCACCTTGCGTTGTGAGATAGTCACAGAGAATAAGCCGAATGAGTTCGCCAATGTAACGGCCGCCAGTCATATACTCGAATGGCTGGAATCCTGGTCGTGCACATGCCTGATCAAGCTCGATGTCCCAGTGGGTGATTATGTTCAGCTCTTTCAATGGCGGAGCGGCACCAGAAATCGTCCATTCGGTGTTGACCACAGTCTCGTCAGCCTCGGGATTCCTCTGCTGTACCTGTTTTGCTTTGGAATTGTGGAGCGAGCTAAGCTTCATGGGGATGGTTGCATTGCAACCCGTCCCCACAATGATTCCCATCGCAACCCTGCTGTTGGGTAATGACTTCACAGAGTAGGCAAGCGAAGCAATAGTGGCCACGGTGTCATTGGTGATCGCCGAGATCTTTAATTTAGGAAGATTAAACAGCTTCCGCCGTTTGCTGGATGGTTCATATTCGTCGTCCGGGCGTCTGGTGTGCTTCTCGTAGCCATTTAGAAGAATTTTGCGGAGATCGAGGTCGGATGAAATCGCAAATCCTTTACCCATCGGCATCAACGTCGCCTCAGTGAGCGATTCTTGCCTAGGTTGCGTTAGTAAGACAGGATTTACCCTGCCAGCTCGTTGGGTAACACTTACATGATGGGAAAACTGAATGTGATGCCCATCTCCAACTCCTCCGGAATCTCGCCGCGAGTGCTTTCCGAGGTTAGGCTCTCCGCCACGACCTCCGCGATGCAGTCGCCAATCCAGGAGAACAGGTCCTCCGCCTTATCCATCTTCAAATGCTCCTGGATGGGCCATGCTCTTTCTAACGTCCGCTTCACACGCTGTCTCTGTGCCTTGCGTAGGGTATCTCTTGACCTCGCTGAAGCATCGCCTGGCGGTGTATCAGACTCGGCTGCCTCTCCAAGCAACTCGATGAAAGCAACCCGGAGATTGGTTCCACCGACATCGATAGCTAGGTATCGACCCGTTTCCAGACCTGTGGGTAGACGGGTGACCGGTGTCGGTAGGAATTGTTCCTTGGAATGCAGGGCTAGGTCTTTATAGATTGTGGAGAAGCGGCGCGCGAGCTGATAGAGGACCGCTTCATCCAGAACCAACGGCGACAGAAACTCGTCCAATTTACGCTGAAGTTCTAGGTATTCCTGGTGTGAGGGGTCCATGTCAGCGTGCTCCTCCTCGTCCTCTTCTTCGAGTGGATCATCGTGTATGTTTTCATGGTCTTCATCCCTGCTTTTGTCCACCTCTATCGATCTCGTGGAAGTCATGTTGTGAAGGGATCCGCGCCGAAGAGGGCGGTCGAACAGCCAAGTTACCGGCGCGTGTGACTTGCGGGTAGCAATCGTTTCGGTGAAGAGTCACTTGTGCGACAGAGCGGTAAATTGGCGGAAGGAAAGGGTTCAGGTATGGTGTTTATCTGCTTGTCCTCGCGGAATGTTTCCCAGGTAGGACGGGATGTGGGGGAAACAGGAATGGGGCTTTCAGTGCCGGTGATAGGACGCATACAACGGTGAGCCCTGTCGTACGCGATCCTGTTGATTGCTGAAGAAAATCAAGATGCAAACCCTAGCCAGGGGTCTTTCTGTGGTGATCGTAGGTCCGGAAACGATAGGTTCTCCAAGGGGGGGGGGACGTTATCTTGCAGCTTGCTCTAGGCTATAATGAGTGTGACGGTCAGCTCCCAAGGTTACAGTGAATGCACGGGTTGAGTGCCAACGTTATCAACTGCAGTGGCCTGCCTGTATGATGAAAAGAGGAAAGGCAGAGGTATCTTGCTGGACGAGAAGGGTGCGACAGTGACGATCATGATGCAGGGAGTCTGGCAAGAAAGTGGACTGCAAGAAGGGGGAGGGAGGGGGGAGTGAAGGGACAGAGGCATACTCTTGCAAGTCAAAGATCCCCACCAGAATGGTAGAACACAGTTAACCGTTGTAGGTACCTTAAGGGGCGTGATAGTGAATGATGCTGGTAGAATACAGGTGGAAACAGTATCAATTAAATATTATAATCATTTTCCGTACAACAGAAAGAAAACAGGACCAGCCAGTGAGTAAGAATTCATTGCCATTCCCCACCCCAAGAAGGCTAAAGTAGTTCAGTAGCCAGACGGTGGGCAAGATGGGCACGACGGAGAAACGGAGGAGAAAGGGAAGAAAAGGGAACGGGTTGAGGTGCAAAGAGAAGGGAAAGAAAGGGAAAGAATGGGAAAAAAAGTGACGAGTACGTATTAGCCTTCAGAGCCGCAGGCCGTTGTGGATGATGGGGAAAATGCAGATGCGACCATCGGCGGACAGGCGATGTGACGCTACCATGGGAGGAGTGGAGGATGTACTACGAAGTTACTACTAGTTGTAGTAGTAGTACTCGGTCAATGATGAATGATAATGGCTCGATTTGATGATTCTGGACCCCTACCACCTAATGGAATGCCATTCCCTAATCCACTCAGTTGTAGTTGAGTTGTACTGTACTGTACCTGGAGGTGAGGTGCCGCTGACCAAGACTCTCAACATGATCAACTATTGATTGAGTGATGACAACAACAATAACAATTATTTGTTGTCTCTCTGCTGTTGTTGTTTTCCTTTTTGATTTTCCACCATCCACCCACCCATCCACCCCCCCTTCGTGGTCTTTTCCCCTCCTGGAAACAGTCCCCTTCCCGCTAAGTAGTTAACGTCACCCTCTCCTCTCCTCTCTTATCTCAAATACCACGCCAATATACCAGAAATCCCCCTTCGTTTCCAATTGGTGACCACATTTCCTCCTTCATGTCAGGCCTGAATTTGCCATGGAATCCATTTTCCAGCCAGACCTAGCTTCATTCAGCTGTCATTTAAACCACTAACTTCCTCGTGCCGCTCCCGTCCTGAACGGAGAAGGCCAGTATGCAGTGGATGCTCTTTTCACCAACACCGCTGTCTTGAATAACCAGACTTCGAACCATATTATCGCAATTTGAAACTAGATTGTTGATAAATGGTTAGCTCGTCATCACGGTTCGAGCGTCTATCTAGCCATCTGGTAAATGGTGGGGCCATTTGTCCCCTATGCGTATCATGCCCGTCGAGTCACAACATGATGCCTTCCAAGCCTTGCTTTGGGGATACGGACTAGGCGTTAGATCAAACTCTCCTAATCCAAGAAGACAGCCGAGTGGAGGAATAGGTGAAGTTGAGTCAGATGGGATTTACGCTTCGACCTCTATCGGTTGGCCCTTCGTATAGTCTCCAGCATAGCCGACCAAACGACTTGCCATGACACTACGCCTCGATGCCAATGCTCAGTTGTGAACCTGCGATGTACTGACTGCACTACTCTCCAGCTCAGACCACTGCTTCCCTCGCCGGAGAAAGTTCGTTCGCCCCGATTGGCCAGCCGAGAAGTCTGGGTCAGTGATGACTCCTCGCTTATACTTGCGATATTGTGACTACGGCGCGGTGGGCCCCAGTCAGACAAGCCACAGGATACAAAGAGATGCCCATACGAGTCCTTGGATAGAGAAGGGAGTCATCACCACCGCAGGCTTCGTTTGGGGGGTGTGAATTGCGTCAGATGCAGGCTGCTCTGGGCAATACGGTCAGAGCTCCGAAGTCGGAGTCTTACTGGGGCAAGAAGAGATCCAGGGCAGGACTGATGGCCGGTACACTTGCGGAGGTTCCGGGCCAGCCAAGCAGCTTGCCTTGTGATCTGCGCGATAGGCTAACGGGTCCCGTCATAGTAGTCGCATATCTCTGTATGCTATGCACTACGGAGTAGTCTAGTCCTCCTCCTTGTTGACCCTTAGTGTGCTACTTTGAGATCAAGGGCCTCCACTAATAATACCGTTGGTACTCGGAGGGCTGTCCTCTTATGTCAATTAGCGTGATAGGCCTCGTCACCGAGCTCTAGATGGGGTGCCTGCTTTCAGAGAGCTAATTTTAGACGCCTTAGTTCCATCTGGCATCACTCCTTCACGGGTTGCGCTATCAGGTCCATGATGACCGTACTTACTGAAAGGCGTTTGATCTGAGATCATGCGACGGAGTCTAATATTCGAAAATTGAAACGGATGGAAATCAAAGGTCCGGTGTTTCAAGTGCCATGCTGATTGCTTTCTTTGTATACT